TTGAATATTTCCAGTTTGTCCAAACTATCATCAAAATATCAACTTTTCATGAATTGAGAGTACTGATGTACTTATTTTCAATTAAGGCTATGTTTTGGACCATATTTAGCACAATTTATTTTTTATCTCGAACACAGATAGAGATAGGTATAGGACATTATCAACAAAAAAGTATTAAAATACTAGAGCGATTCCAAAAATGTATTACTATACGGGGTGCCCCTTTAAAAAAAATAAAGTTGCTAGGACTTTTTGATGGAAGTGGCAACGCCGCAATGCTGAAAATACTTTAGATCTATAGAACAGGAAAGGAAATGTGAGAGGTGGAATTTTCAGAAAAATCATGCTTTGCGTTTTCCAGAAACGTCTAACCTACCATCGACCGTGAGCCATTTGGCTTTTACACACTGTATAATAGCTCCATTGGTGATTCAATGACAAACTATTGTAGTCAATGAAAATTTTATTCCCTTTTCTGAGAAAAAAATGTTCATATTGATGATAACAATAACCCAAATAGTTTGTATTCATGATTATATAATTTTGAACGACTCTAAAAAACCCAATTTTTTTTCTCCATTTCGTACATTTGTTGCAGTCACATATAAATGAACCAAAGAAATTTTTTANCCCGTTTTTTTTCTCCATTTCGTACATTTGTTGCAGTCACATATAAATGAACCAAAGAAATTTTTCATTTGCGAATTACTCACTCGGAAAGATTTCCTAGGAGTCCATTCATCCACATCATCTTGTTTTTCTTCTTCGAGTTTTTTGTCAGGTTCGGCGGTGAAAAGCTTGGCGTAAGAATTATCAGTATCCATCAAGTCGTTGAATGTTCCCTCGTTTTCAATTCGACCCTTGTAACAGAGACATATTTTCATAAGTTTCATTTTAGATTGACATTCATATGGTATTGTGAATATTGGAAAGTTAATAAAATGTTTTGTGAAGTGTTTTCACAAAAAGTTTTTTCAAATAAAAAATTGTTTATTGCAAAACGTCTCTCATAGTTCGTAATCAAAGATACAGCAAATGAGTGCAATGTGGCGGACGTTTCACTTCAAAAAGAGACTTTCATTATTTTCTGTTAACAGTGTGAGAGCAAAATTGAGACTGAATTATAAAAGTATTCTTTCCATGAATATAAGATTGCTTGCACATAAGTTTCCCAGAATTGCGAGATTCTGCTTCAGCATGGTCAGTAGTTCACATGGGAATGGGTGATATAATTCATGTGATCCAGTTAGCAATAATAATAATAATAGTAATAATAATAATCTCTTTATTCACTCAGATTGATTTGTATAACCACAGGAGCAGAAGTACAAATGAAAAAGAGGAAAACGTCAATGTACAATATTGAAAAGGAATAAAACTATACGA